CTCAAAGGCACCAAGTGCGTGGAAGATTGATAAAGCAGGTCCTAGGCATCCGTGATGGTGGGGGTGCCTCCCCGCGCCGGCTCCGCAGCGAGCGGCGGACTGGTCCCGAGGGGCCGGCCGCCAGGGATTCTGGCGGCAGGGAGTGCTTCGCCTGGGCGGCCTTTACCATTTTTGTCCTTGAGCAGGTCGTTTTTCCCTCTCGCCCTCAGCCTCCCCATGTGTTTGCCGAGAGGGCTGCTGTGGGGCAGGGGTTGCCAGATGTGCCCCGCGGAGCTCTGGGGACTGCGGGGGAGAGGGCGGCACCGCGGGGGGCTGGGGCCGGGGAGCAGGCGCGCGGCCCTGCCGTCCACCAGAATGACTGCACGCTGCTGTGTGTGTGTGTTGACGTTGCAGGTAAGATGTGGGCGCACAGGGATCGGGTCCTGCTGGAAGCTTGCAGACACGTGGATAAGCTCGTCCGGCGGCCTGCCCAGCTCTGACTTCCGCGGCTCCACAACGCCGCTTGCCGAGGGCTTGTCGCGCGCGCGCTGCAGCCGCCTGCCCTCCCGTCCGGGGACACGTCGGTAGGTCCTGCGTACCGACGCGTTTGTGTGTCGAGCTCTTGACTGAGAAACTGTAGCAGGCACTGTCCTCGTCTTCGCATAAGAACACCCGAGTCGTGCCCCCGTTGTTTCTCAGTTCCGTGACCCCCGGCAAGTCTCTCAACCGGGCCGAGCCTCCGCTTCCACATCTGTGAAATGGGCACACAGTGCAGCTTCAGCGATGACCGAGGGCAGGTCCCTGTTGACCTGCTCAGGGTGGGAACTGACCGTCACTGACAGGCAGGTGATAGTCCCACAGGTTGTGCGGTTTCCCGAGCTGCCAGAGGCGACCTGGATTGCAGGGCTGTGCAGGTTCAAGGACCAGCCTGCGCTCATGCCCTTTGTGAATGTTGCAGGAGGTGCAATCCGCCCTTACGGTGAATGTCCAAAACACCATAAAGCGTTGTAAGGGCCGTCCATTGGCACCCCGGGCGGCCTGTAACTTTGAGTGCAAAAGTACGTTTTAAAGGCAGAGAATATTTAGAAACAAATGGGTTGGTCGAACAAGAAAATTGATTTTCAGCTGCATTTACCATCCATGGGATGAAGGCATTCAGGTAAACAATGACCTATTTGGCTGAGAAACAGTCTACTAGTTTCCACTGAGCCCGCCCAGGTCCTTCCGGGTCACTGTCACGCAGGGAGTCACACATGCTTCCCTGCCTTGTGGCAGCTGCATCGGCGAGGACGCGGGGGCGGTGACCAGGGTTTGAGACCATGGAGCAGGCCACTGGCCGCTCAGGGCCCCGCGGGAGGAGCAGCGAAGCCTCAGAGGCCTGTGAGCCTGGGGGACGCAGTGGGTGACGGCTCAGGCCACTCCTGAGTGTTCAGTGTGACGTGAGGACGTCAGTGGGGCTGTGGGCCGGGCCCCTGGGACCCCGCGGACCCACGGGGAGCTGGATACAGGCGGGGCGCTCCGCCCCGGAGGAGGCAGAGCTGGGGCCTGGCGGGGCCGCGGCTCGCACCTGGGAAGGGCGGGGCAGGGCAGGCTGCACAGTCCGGTGTCCCTGCGGAGGCCATGCCCGAGGTGGGACACGGTGCAGGGCGGGCGCCAGGTCCGGCGGGGCGTGGGTAGGCCCGTCGATGGAGCTGGGGGCCGGCTCGGCCAACCAGGCCAACCCATGGGCACGGCGAGGGCTCCGGGCTCAGCCCAGGCACCACAGACCGTGCACCCGCTGCAGCGAGGGGCATCGTGGGCCCGCCAGCCGGGCGCTCTGAGCCCCCAGCCACCCAGCTGCCTGGTAGAGTTGGCTCGGGACGGGGCAGGGCCCACTTGGCAGAGGGAGGTGTCTGTGTCTGTAACCCTGCAGGGCTGGGGGACACAGGGGCCAGCCAGGGCAGGGGGTACAGTCGTCGGAGGTGAGCGCGACCCAGGGGGGGTGAAGGCATGGGGGGCGGGGGCCCGGGGGGCGCAGCGCTGGGGTGTGGGCGGTCGAGGCAGCACGCCTCCCGTCCTCTGCTGCAGACCCCGGGTGACAGAAGGACCCCCTCAGTCGCTTATGCAGCGGAAGGTGCAGGTCTGTGTGCGGCTTCCTGTGCACGTACTCCCCGCCTTTGTTTCCCCCGGAGGAGCAAACCTGTTCCTTTGCGGGGGAAAAAAACAAATGAGGAAAATCAGAGTAAAAGAAATAAAAAACACTTATAATTCATTAGCCAGATAACCTCTATACACATTTGGACATGTAGCTGGTAGACTATTTACAGGGAGGGAAAAAAGTATAAACTTGCAAACTTCCTTATTTCTCTGTAATTGAACTTAAAAGTCTTAGGCCCCATTTCTGCAGATGATGGAAAATGGATTTTGCTAATTCAGAATAGCCCCATCCTCCCTCTGGGTGGGCGGCCTTTCATCTCCTTTTACTTAAGGAAACAACTGTTCTTTTATCGTCACACATTCTTTCCAAACCTGTGGGTTTATGGTATAAATTTTGTGCTTTGAATCCTCCAGGTTTTGCTCTCGGCAGTCAAAACCGAGCTTTTGGCATCAAAGAAGCAGAATATAAACGAACCCACATGTATTAGTTTTCTCTTGCTGCTGTAACAAATTGCCGCAAAATTGGGGGCTTGACACAATAGAGATTCATTTTCTTACAGTGTTGGAGGTCAGAAGTCCACAATGGGCCTCACCTGGTAGAAATCAAGGTGCTGGCAGGGGTGACAGTCCTCTGTGGAGGGCTGGCGGGGCGGCGAGGGGCGGGGAGGCTCCCCACCCTTGGTCGGTCCCGTTCCTGGGCACCTGCAGCCCTGGCTGGTGGCCCCGTCCATCGTCCGAGGCAGCAGTGTGGCTTCCACGGGTCCGTTTCTGCCTGTGACCCCTCTCCCGCCTCCCTCTCCCGCTCGGAAGGACGTGGGGCCCAGCTCGAGAGCCCAGAAGAGCTCCGTCTGTTTAAGGTCATCGGATGAGCGCCCCTCCCACCATGCGGTGTGCAATGTAACATATTCACGGGGTCCTAGAACGGGAGCGGACGCCTTGGGAGGGGCCGTTGTTCTGCCCCCTGCAGCCCACAATCGTGCCGTCGTCGAAAGCACGACTTGTGGGATCAAAGGCCATGACTTTCAAAACGCCAGCCCTCGTTTTGATTGAACCAAGCCCACCGAGGAGCGCCAAAGGCAATGATGGACCTAACAGAACTTGTCCCGCCCTCCCCCTGAGCGTGTGAGTCCAGAGTGGCCGCTGTTCCCCGAGCTGGGGGCTGACACGGGGCACTGGGACGCTCACGGGGGCGGGCAGGCGGGGGGGGACCCCTCAATGTTACTTCCCTAAATCTCGTGTCACGTCTGTGGTCCGTGCCACACAGCCTGCATGTGACCCGGTCAATTCACTTCACAGTGTAGTGCACACGTCCTTCCAGGACAGAAAGTCACGTTACTTTCTGCAAAGCAGCCGCGGCGGCCGAGCCGCCCCCCCGCCCCCCGCCCCCGGCCCGCAGGTGGCGCCTCGAAGGCAGGCACGGGCGCTCGGCCGGGGCGCCCGCTGCGCAGCTGCAGCCCCTGATGCCTGAGAGCCCGGGGGGCCGGGCGTGCAGGGCTCTTTGGAGCCGGGTGGAGCTGGCGGAGGGACGAGGGGCTTTCCAGCCGCGGCCCCGCGTCCGCTGTCGGGGAGAGGGTGGCTGCTAGGGCGCTGTTCTGACCCCAGGTGCTGAGAGCAGCCGCTTTCCGGCAGCCCGTGGCCCGGCCCTGAGGATCGTGGTCATTAAAGGTGTGTCCGGGGCAGGGTCATGGTGACCTGCAAGTTGTCTGAGGAGAGAGACGGTGACGGGCCCTGAGGCTTGGGACTCGTGGAGGCTCCCCGTGGCGGGAGTGGTATCAGTCATGGGATGGGGGCTCGGGGGAGGCCCGGGGCGCTGGGCCGGTGGCAGGCCGTGGGTTTGTCGTTGGCCCCCCCACGCCCACAGACGCAGACAACTCGGAACCTGGCTCGGGTCTGCCGCTCGCCTCCCTGGCGGCTTTCCCTCCCCCACGGTCTCCCGTCCTTAGGTCCCAAAGCCCGCCTGTTCTCCCCCAGTTTTCAGCTCTGACTCTGCCCGCTCATTGTATATTTTTTTGGTCTTTTCGGTGGGGAATCCAAGGATTTATTTAACCCGGCAATCAAATTGGTCATTTAAAATAATAGTCCGTCTTGTCCAAGTCTAAAAATAGACTCTGCCGGCAGGAGAAGGCAAGCAGGGGGACGGGGTGGACGCTGAGCCGACGTCAGAGCCCAGCCACCCCACCGGGGCCGGCGGCCGCTGTGCTTTGGTCCCTCCTGGTCCTGACATGGGCCGGCGGGAGGGGCTGTTTGTCTTGATTAAAGTCAGCCCCCCGCCCCCCGCCCCCCGCCCCCAGGCCGCCCTTCTGTGGACACAAGCTGCATTCACAGTCCTCTGCCCCAGCCCTGTGCAGATTTTATGAAAGGCGTTTTCACTTGGATTAAACAGGCGCTGTGTTTGTGTGCGAAGGAGAAAATGAATCACTTCGATGTCGGGCAAGGATTGGAGGTGTTGTGTTTGTCCCTTGCAATCACACAAACACACCAGACCTCATCTAAGAAAAAAGAGTAAGGGGCGGGGGGGGGGACCCCGCAGGGGGCGGGGGGGGCAACGGTCTACAACACGAGCCATCCCCATGCCTCAGACCTCAGACGGGGTTGTGTTCTGCCTGCTCACGCCGGACTCCGCGTCCAAAGGAAAGTTTGAGGTTTTACATTTCTGTGTGCGGTGCAGGAAAAGGCTTAGGCTCCGAGGGCTCGATTCAGTGCAATACCATCGCTTTCATGCGCGCTGCTCTGCGAGAAGGGCAGGAGCTGGAAGCCGCTGCTCAGAGACGTTGAAGACTTGCTGGCAGCAGGGAAGGGATTTTTTTCCCCTCCCTCCTTCCCTCCCTCCCTGCCTGCCCAGGAAAAACAGTTCTAACGAAGACTTTCTTGGTAGTTTTAACTCATTTTCAAATACTGTCCGCACCAGGCGCTGCCGTGGATCCCCCGGCGTCCGGACCAGGCCCACAGGGGCTTCTGCCGGCTCCCCCCCGCCTTCCGAGCCACACAGGATGAGTTTGCAGAAGAGAATCTTCCCTCGAAGGGGGACCGGTGAGTGCAGCTGCCCCTCCTCGGGGGCTGGCGGGGAGGGGGGGTGGAGGGTGGGAAGTGCCGGCCGGGGCGGGGGCAGGCGGCACAGTTTGGGTTCGGTTGCGAAGTGTGCGGCGCGAGGCTCACGTGTGCATATGTGCGCTCACACGTGCATGAGTGTGCAGAGCGGCAGGACCCGTGCCCGTCTGTCGGCGATGTCCTGGCAGAGGCCGGCCACTTGCGGGGGGGGGGGGGGGCCTTGGCCCGGGCAGCCGCTCCCACCCGTTCACTTCCTGTCTGTGTCGGTGGCAAAGTTCAGGGGCATCGTGGGGTAAATGCGGTGGAGGCAGGCCCCTCGCCAGCTGGGCTCGGGGTCCGGAGGGAAGCAGGGCGGACAGACGCTGCTGCTGGGCTCCGGGGCGGGGGGCGCAGCAGGTACCTGCAGCAGGCTCCTGTGCCCGGCAGGTGCAGCCCACATCAGGCGGTTTCTCAGAACAGCCGCCCCCTCTTACTGCAGAAACAAACAGGCATCGGGGAGAAGCGTTTTAACCCCTGCGCCCCGCTTTTAAAGTCAACACTGGCAGAACGTCAGCTGTTGTAACTTTGGCATAAGAGAGTCAACACATGGTTTTCTTTAAAGAGGAGAACAAGGCAAGGCAAAGGCACATTCTGGCTTTTCCGGCTCCGGGAAGATAGGGAAGAACCAGCTAGAACGCTGGGGACCCGCCCGCTGAGGTTCCCCGATAGCACCCCTGAACTGGAAGGCCGGCCGGGGAGCACGGAGAGGCAGACCTGGCTGTGGGCGTGGCCCCGCGGAGGGTTCCGGCTCTGGGAGCGAAGGGCTCCCTGCTTTCAGGAGGGAGGGGGGTCAGACGTGGCTGGGGCTCGGCTCCCTCCTCTGCGGAGGGGGCCCTGCAGCCGCACCTCGCAGGACAGTGGGCGCGGTCCGCGCGAGCGGGCTTGTGCGGGGGCCCGAGCCGCCCGTGTGTGACGGGAGCCCTGGCTGGCACCCCTGGGTGGGGGCAGAGGCCCTCCCAGGGCACCCGGGCGGCTGTGGCGCCCCGTCCCTCTCCTGTAGAGAGCCGGCTAAGCGTTCGGAGCGTCCCCCTGGGGGGGTGGATGACCCGGTGCGTTTCCTTACATGGAGGGGACCTGGCGTTTGCCTGGTGCTCCCTGCTCCCTAGGCGGCTGTGTTCATGGGAGGCCTTGCCACTTCCTGTCCCTGGCTGAATCACTGTCTTTGGGCGGTTTCCCTGGTAACCACGGACAGACATCCGTTAGGAGGGGCGCTGGAGAGTATTCCCGGGCACACACCTGCGAGGGGCGAGGGAGGCCGAGCTGGGCAGTGGGGGGGGGGGGGTGTCTGACCGGTCGACCCCACAGGCTTTGTGCCCTGCGGTGGCCGGCACTGTGTGTGGGCTGCCCCTGAGCAGGGCACGGCCTGGCGGGGGCAGTGGCTGCAGCCCAGGGCAGTCCCTGGGGGCAGGGGGCTGGACGGCAGCTGGCACAGGGCCCACCTCCGCCGTGGGGACGCGGCCTCGGGGCTCAGGCGGGACCTCGCTGGCAGCGCCCCTCCCTGTCACTCGGTCGTGTGCTTGCGGCGCCCCTTTTCTCTGCTTTCTGCTGTTGGGGGCTTGGGGAGCGAAGGCACGGGCACCTGTCTGGTCAGGTCCTGACAGGGCAGCTCCCGTGGACGTGCCCCCTCCGCCGCGGGGCTCGCTGTGCTGCCCAGGGCGTGGACGGACGCTGTGGGGGCGCGGGTGGCCTCTGAGGGCCTCCCTGCACCGCCGTCTCAGCGGCGCCGGGCGTAAGCACGTGGCGTCGTGCCGGCCGTGGCTCGTGCTCGGGCCCCAGCCCTGCTGCACCGGCGCCGCCCCGCCCCCTGCTGCGACGGGGGCCCGAGGGCAGCTCTGCTGCCCACCCTGTCCCCCGCCCCAGCATGTCCTCCCGGGAGAAAGGGAAACCCCAGGATGCTGCCGTGCATCCCGGATAATGGAGGCTGTGTCCTGCGGCCCGCGCCACGCAGACGCAGCTGGGTGCGCTGGATGGCCCTCCCGGCCCCTCTGCCCACTTTCTGTTTATTTTCCAGCTGAGAGTGAAGTCACTTTCTCGCACACTTGGAACGGATTCCCAACACGTTAGTCGGTTAGAGAGGAGAGCACTCTGTGCCCCAGGGCTGGGCTCCAGGGAGCCGGTGGGGCACATTAAACAATGTCACACACAAACACTGAAATGCCAGAGAGGCGAGGGGCCAGGCGCTGGAACGGGGCCACGGACCGGGGCGGGGGGATCTGGGAGGGCTTCCCTGAGGAGGTGCTGCCTGCGCTGTTTCCTGGAGGGTGTGCGGGAGTTAGGCAGGACGGGGTGGAGGAGCAAGCCCCAGGGAAAGTGAGCAGCATGTCATAGCGCAGGGTGGAAAAGACCCGTTTCAAGTCCTGCCAGCCGAAGCCGGCCCCTGGGAGCTTTGTGAGTGTTCCTCCATATCGTCTGGCGGCAGCTTTTAAAAATAATCCTGGCGGCTTGTTGGCTCAGGGACTAAGAGCGTTAGCCAGTGGGACCAGACATCAGGAGCCCCTGCCTCTGTTCCTCACAGCTGCTGGCTGGCCGCCAGGTGGGCACCCCAGAAACCCCGCCGCCCAGCCCCTCCTCCCTCCTGAGTGGTCTCCAGCCCAGGCACTGACGTAGGACCTTCCCCACAACCTCTGCTCTGCTCACGCTTTCCCAGAGCCGAGGAGCCACCGTGGCCCCCGTGCCTACGAGCTGGGCTGTGGATCACGTCTCCGCTCCCGCGAAAGCGTCAGGCCGCCACGCTGGCCTCAGAGAACCCCGGCGGCCGCCTGTGCCGCCGCTGACTTCCCCGTCCCCACACGACCGGCTTTACCTCGCTTTCCATTGTGTTTTCCAAAATGTTACTGTAGCAATGTCTTCGACAGGAGAGGGGAAAGAATCGCAGTCAGTGGGCAGACACCCACCGTCCAGATGCCACCAGCGGCGCGCTAGTCCATTTGTCTCCTCACACGTCCACCTGCGTCTCCAGCCCTCTGTCCATCTTCCCCTCCCTCTTATTTTTTTGATGCATTTCCATGTAAATTTCAGGCATCACTGAAGTTTATTTCTAAGCACTTCGGCAGGTCTATAATTAACTTGAGCTTGAGCTCAGCGTTTGTCAGGAGACTTTTAGGTAAAATTTATGTACAGGGAAACGCACATGTCATGAGTGCACCCTTCAGTTAACTTAGACAAAGGGGCACCCCGGTGCAAGACGAACTCTTACCGCCCTGGGGCTGGTTGCCTTCACCCCAGAAAGCCCTGCCACGGCCCTTCTCGAGGGCCTTCCAGCTTTCCTAACAACGCATGAGGTGCCCCTCAATGTCAAGGCCAGGTGAGAGCACAGTGCCGGCTTTGTCCCGCCTCGGCTGCGGGGCAGACCCCTCGCGCGGAAGGCCCCCAGGCGGGCCTCCTGGTGGTCGGAGCCCAGGAGGGGGGTGCGGGGGCCTGGGCGTGCGGTGGGGCTGGATCTCCGGGCCTGGCAGCAGGTGAAGGCAGCTCAGGACCGAGGGGAACGAGCGGGTGCCCTGTCCTGAGGCCGGGACCCTCGGCGGTGGCCAGGGCTCCGTTGGGGCTCTGTGTCTGTGTGCGTCCTAGGGCTGGGCACCCGGAGCAGGGCCACGGGAGCCAAGCCGCTCCCACGAGGGCCGCCCGTGTGCAGCCGGCCGGCCAGGGGTGGGAGGCGGTGGGTGCCTCCTTCCCCGGGAGGAGGGGCACAGTGGCAGGGAGCTGGGATGTGGGTGGTGCAGGGCGAGGGTCCTGGCCTTCTGGCTCCGGCGCCGCCGCAGGCGGAGCGCGGCCGGGGAACGCACAGCTGGTACCCGCCGAACCACGACCGTGCGTCCGGCAGCGGGGGTGCTCTCGTTTAAGTCTCATGCAGCGCCTTTCACAAGTGAGGCCTCTGACACTCAGGGAGAAGTGTGGCTTACCCCGGGGCACCCAGCCCGCAGACCTGGGAGGGGACCTCGCGGGGCAGGGGCTCGGGGGCGGTGCTCTCTCCGGCTGCCCCCTGCCCGCCTCCTGTGCCCGTGCGGGCACACCCGCGCCCACAGCCACTCCATCCATCCGTGTGTCTCTGTCACACTGTGTCTGCGTGTGACCACAAAGACCACCCCTCCTCCCCTTGCTTGTTCTCGAACCGTTGTTTAGCACCCGCTTTATGCCAGGGACTAGGTGAGGCTACACAGACAGAACACAGATGAGGGAGGCCAGCGTGGAGGCCTTCAGAGGACAGAGGGGCTGCCCTTCAACCAGTGAGCTGAGGGGGTGGGGGGGTGTCGGGGAGACTTCCTGGAGGCGGTGACTGCGGGCCAGCCCTGATAACGTAGGCGCGCTGGCCCGCAAGCAGCAGGTCGGAGCTGGAAGGGCAGTGCAGGTGCCAGCGGAGTGTGGAGGAGGGAGAAGGCAGGAGCGCCAGGCGCTGCTTGGGGCCCCGGGCCCGGGGCCCGGGCGCGACCTCGGGCAGGGGCTTTGCATTTTTAGTGGCTGACTCAGTGGTGTCATGACAATAACAAATTAAGAAAAGAAAGCAGGGATTTCTTCATCTGTAAAAATCTTTTCTGATGCAAGACAGGAAGCGGCATGCCCCAGATAACTGTGTGGGCCGAAAGGCTGTGTGGGGGCGGGAATAACTGCCCAGCAGGGCCCAGGGCCCCACGCTGCCCCCTCACTTGCCGCCCCCCCACTAGAGAGGCTCAGGAGGCGCCGGCCCCGGCGGGGCAGCTCACATCCCTGGAAAAGCAGAAAAGATGTGAGATGTGGACTCCACTGTCTCCACAGCCTCATAAAAGGAGAGACCCCAAGGGGAACACGGCGTTCCTGCCAAAGCGCTGCCGAGGAGTCGCTTCCTCCCCTGGCGCGTCCCTGTCAGTACCTGGCCTTTCCCCACGGTCAGCGCAAGGGAGGCCTGCAGTGCGGACCGTCCCCTGGCTCCGTGCCCTGGACAGCTGTTTCTCCGCCCGTGCCTCGTTTCT